CTAAGGGCACCAAATTAATTATCCCTATATATATATATATATATATATCTTCGCCCGTCTTGCTGGATCAAGAAGGCGATGATGTCATCGAGCTGAACGTGTGCTGAACGACGGAGGTGCCGTACGTTTGGTACTTGATCAACTGGATCGCGAAGGTGTTCGACTACATCAACCGCGTTGTTAAACGTTTCCGCTTTACGGTCTACGAGGGTATGTAGACTTACTCTCCTCTCTCGTTGCTATGCATCTCCATGGATAGATCTTGCATGTGCGTAGAATTTTTTTTGTTTTCCATGCAATGTTCCCCAACAAGACTTGCATCTTCGATGCCTCGATGCCTAGGCTCATGCCCGTAAAGGGCAGTGAATGCATGGTGACTTACCCAAAACAATGTGCCAGGTTGTATTGTACCAATATTCTGTCAACGGCACCCAAGAGCTCCACTTGTGTGGACAAGAGTGAACAAAGCAATGGAGAAAGGTTTCCATGCACTACTTGATACGTTCAGTTTGTCTGTGAGTTGTTGCATGGTAGCGAGTACCTATCTGTAGTTTAGTTTCTATCTGGAGCAATAGCTCCCTCATAAAAATGGGGTCACGGTCAAACACTAAGGATTTTGGGATGTCGTGGTGTTTGTAAACTTGATCCACGTAAGATATCGCCTCCTAAGGTGTTGAGAAGGGATGCGACAATGGAATGAAATGACCATGCTTGGAGAATTTGTCGATAATAACTAAAATACAGTTGTAGCGTCCTAATTGTGGAAGCCCTTCAACAAAGTCCAACGACACCATCTGCCAAGCTTGTGTGGGTACTAGTAAATGCTCTGAGAGGCCTGGTACTAGTAAATGCTCTGAGAGGCCTAGGTAATGATTGCGGTTGAGTTTAGCTTGTTGACAGATCATGCAAGCCTGAGCATAGGCAGTAAGCCAGTAACTACAACCTTCATAAGTAGTCAATCAAACACCGAATGCAGTCTCTGATCTCTAGCAAGACCACCTGAATACCCCTTGCTTCCGATTCCCGTCCTTTCAGTAAAGCAAACTAAAAATCTTTATTATGGCCAACCCAGGCACGCCCTTTATAGTATAGTAATTCATCTCTCTAGGTAAAATGCATGTGAGACAGGGGTTAGGATCCTAGGTAATGTACTCAAATATCTTGGTGGTATGAGCGTTAGTACAATAACTTTTCATGACATTTTCTAGCCATGCAGGTTGATAAATGGAAAGAGCATTCAATGTCTCCATTTTCACTCCTGGATGCCATAGATAAGGCTATAAGGCACCAGTTGCTCCATTGTTAGTGCCCTTGCAATAACACAACCGATGAGTAGACCCAACATTTTAGTGAATTCCCTCTACTGTCATGATGTATGCAAACATTGGTCCTTAAGATGCATCAAGTTGCGATGATCAATATTGTCAAGAATTCACTCCTTGAAAACAAGGGCGCGAATGCTCCACAGAAAAAAAGACATTAATTCTTTTTCATATGTCCACAGTCCTTTGTTGCGAGGACCCAAGGTTTTGCTAAGGTGTGCCATAGGTGACCATCTTGTTCCAAGAAAACACCAATGCCTTGCTCAATAGCATTCGTTTCAAGAACAAAAAGGCCGAGCAAAATTTGGTAATGAAAGAACTAGAATACTGATCAACCTCTGCTTCGATGTGTCAAACGCCATATCGCGGTCAATTGTCCACATGAAGGGTATATTATTTTTGAGTAGATGTGCCCAAGGCCAAGAACTAATGCATAATGCTTGACAAACTTCCTATAATAACCTGAAAATAAAAATATTTTTTCTGGCTATGAATACCAAGCGTTAAATACCATGCCTCGCTCTCAGATATATTGCTCAAACAGAGTAACAAAATAGCTATAATTAATTTGGTTACAATTGGGTGCACATGCAAGTGCATCAAAGGAAGATATCAAGAAGAGGGGGGCACTGCCTTTTGTTCCCGTGATCGATATTCGATGCTCAATACCTGATATCTCGTTCTTTCTTATACCCGATCGATGTCAAACACTCATCCCCGGTCACGTATGAAGGGTTTTTTTTGACGCGGGTCATGTGGGTTCATGGGCTTCTAACCACTAGTGGTAGAGATGCTAACAAACATCTACCTAAGCCCTAGAAGACATTAGTAGTTCTAATATGAATACTCGGTCTTGCTGATACGCATAGACCTCCATGAGTTGACATGCAACATGCCGAGAGTATTGTTGTACTCCTACACGCTAACATCATCCTCACATAATCTCATATAAGTAGGAGTAGTGTTGTTACTTGACTAGTGACTACTTGCTAGTGAGGCGCCGACCCTTGCTAAAATATGTGCCTCGCGTCCATCTGGTAATACGAGATTGCGTTCAGAACGAAACAAATATATCTACGACTACCATATTTTTGTTAGTTACTTTACGAAGCACCCTCAACAGCTGAGGCAGACTGTGGGGACTTCATGCGGTCATCGGATCAAGCGACCACGTACTTATCATCCTTGGTTTTAGAGACAATTGTGCTGGACCACCTTGATATGCGCGAGGCTCGAACAACAATCACAACGTCAATGTAAGACATAAATCTAAATCCTGTTTTCAAAATCTTTTAAATGGCTTTTTAAGTGTAAATCTTGTGAAGGGCCGTACCCGCAAAAAAAAAAAAAATCTTGTGAAGGGCCTTTTGGTCTTTTGCGGCGTCATTTCGAACTTTTGGAGTGGGAGTTGCGTCCGAGAATTGAGACTGAGATGCCATTCCTCCCTGGTGGAGTGACCCTTTCGGTTTCAAAATCTCCCCGTCTTCCACCGTTTCCACGTACACGTCGTTTCGCCACTCTTCTTCCCCCCTGTCTCCCTCTCGCCCACTCTCTTCTCCTCCGGTTCCCTCCCCAAATTCGTCCGTTCGCAGCCCCGGCCCCGGCTGCTCTCCTCCTCCCCGCAGGCCTCCCGCGCCGACGGCGGCGGGGTATCTCAGGCCAGCCCCACCGGCGCCGCACCGGCGCGGATCGGTTACCCCCTTCGCCGGTAAGGAACCAACCAACCCTAGCTCGATTGCGTGCGAGTTGGTTTTCCCTCCTCGGGTATCTTCCGTCGCCGCTGCAGCGAGCGACCAAGATCTAAACCGGTTATTCGGCCGATTTGTTTGCTCCATGGATGTCACCCTCTAGTCCTCAGTTCGACGGCTTGATTTAGGTCGTTCCCCCTCTTCATTCTGTCTGAGTTGACCCGTGGTAGTCCGGGCGCGGACGTGGGGTGCGGGCAGAGCTTATGTCCGAAAGTTTAGAGTTTTCTCTTCTTCCTTGGTGATGTGATTGGTTGAACATGGGGAATTAGGGTTGTATTGTATGGAACAGTTAGGAAGTTGCGGACGAGATTGCTTGATTTGGGTTATTTGTTTTTGTTCCCTTTACTGTGCCAACCGAATAGAATTCGAGATTTGCTTCGAAATGTTGTGTAGGATACCACAATTTACTCCTTGTCTTCACATTTACTACTCGGCTTTATATTTTGGTCCGTGATGGTAAATGGCAGTATACTAGTTAAATAACAGTATGAATTCTTTCATTTCTTCGAGATCTGCAGCCTATCCGGTACTTATCTGCGATACTGTATTCTTTTCCTACTTATGATTGGCTCTTCACTTCCCAACTTTAATTGCAGTTCATCTTATGCATGTGCATACCACCTTTTGTTTTAGGCTGACTATATAGACATAGCTGCAGATAGATTATAATACATCCATTGTCCTGCACAGATAAATTACCAACATAAATAGATGTGGGAAGGCTGGCTATAAAATCAATTCCTTGGCTGTGTATCCTTAGGCTGCGTTTGGCAGCAAAGTTTTTTTAAAGTTTTCTGAGAATACCGCGGTTTCTGAAAAAAACCATGGTTTTGAATACTTTGCTGCGTTTGGCATCAGAAAAAACCGAAGTTTTGTAACCACAGTATGCCAAAAACCATGGTATTTTTGCGGTTTTTGAAAAAGAGGTCCCGACCTCTTTTTTAAAACAGAATGGAGTGAAATCGTCGGGAGATCACAACATTGCCGTCTACGTCGAGATAAGAATACCAGCTGCGATCCGATCCTATTTTCCCTTTTTCCGTTATATGGTAAACTCCTGGTTCTAGCCAATCTCATCCTATTTACGAGTAGTAGGTCTCTCAGGTTCTTCTTCCAGCCGGCGCCCCGTGCAAGTCCCGTCTCTTCTCTGCAGCGCCATGAGTGAGTCAAGCGGGATATATATAGGTGGATTATTTGAAACCTTCAATGCCAGCAGCCCATGCATGTAGGTGCATCAGGGGTAGTCTACAAATCCTAGCATCTAGGTCCGGCGGATGTGTGCATGGAAGCTGCATGCAGCCAGCCGCTGTTTGCAGCCGCTAATTACTCTCAGTCAACCAATCATCCACGCTAAAATACTTGGTCAAAACTTTGGTAAAACAGCACCAACCAAACACATGTAAAACTGAGAAAAACATTGTTTTTAAAAAACTGTAGTATTCAATGCCCACTCAGGAGAATACTGTGGTTTTCAATTACCACCACCAACAACAACAACAACAACAAAGCCTTTAGTCCCAAACAAGTTGGGGTAGGCTAGAGGTGAAACCCATAAGATCTCGCAACCAACTCATGGCTCTGGCACATGGATAGCAAGCTTCCACGCACCCCTGTCCATAGCTAGCTCTTTGGTGATACTCCAATCCTTCAGGTCTCTCTTAACGGACTCCTCCCATGTCAAATTCGGTCTACCCCGCCCTCTCTTGACATTCTCCGCACGCTTTAGCCGTCCGCTATGCACTGGAGTTTTCAATTACCACAGTTTAAAAAATATTTTGCTGCCAAACTAAGCCTTAATGTTACTCTGCACAGATTTATAGCAAATTTCTTTATGTAATAATAGCACTCATTTTCTGGTGCCTTATTCCGTTTGCATCATTATTTCCAGTTTGTAATCTAGCTATGTTCTATTGTAGGTTAAGGCACAACAATGGCTTCAACTGCTGCAGTACCGGCCACAAATACAAATGGGAACCATGCACTAAGTGTGGATTCACATTCCAGCCAAGATGTTAGGCGGCGAACAGTTGTTGTTGCAAAGAAAAAGCCTACACCTGAGCTTCTTACTGAAGGTGGAGTTAATGGGGTCTCAGATGATAAGGTTTCTAGTAAGAAGGATATTGGTCATACAAGCCGTGGAGAGTCAGTTATCGACAAACCGAAATATTCATCTGAGGGAAGAAAAGATGCACTTCCTCCAGCACCTTCTGCTGAACATCGAAAGAAAAGTACTACTAAACAAGAAAAAGCCAAGTGGGAAACTGCACTAAGTGTGCTGATGAAGCTTTGCCTTCTTTTTACGGCTTTTGCTTGGATGGGGCAGGTGTTATGGGGATGGCAAAATGGGGATCTATCATTTACAGCACTTGATATGAAGAGCAGACTATCCAAGGTAGAGGTGTTCAAGAAGACGACTAGGATGCTCCAGGTGCAACTGGACATTTTAGATAAGAAGCTAGGAGATGAGATCGGCAAAGCAAAAAGGGACATCACAAAGCAATTTGATGACAAGGGCAAGAAGTTAGAGACAAAGGTGAAGACATTGGAAGGCAAGGCTGACATATTAGACAAGTCACTTGCTGAACTGAGAGACATGGGTTTTGTCTCCAAGAAAGAATTTGATGAGATTCTGACTCAGTTGAAGAGAAAGAAGGGTTTGGATGGCACTGGGAGTGATATAACCTTAGACGATGTAAGAATATTTGCCAAAGAAATAGTGGAGATGGAGATAGCCAGGCATGCAGCAGATGGCCTTGGAATGGTGGATTATGCATTAGGGTCTGGTGGTGGCAAAGTGGTTAAGCATTCGGGTGCTTTCAAGAAAGCTAAGAGCATTCTTCCTCGTCGTAGTGAAAGTCACAAAATGCTGGAGCCAAGTTTTGGACAGCCAGGAGAATGTTTTGCACTGGAAGGAAGTGCTGGATTTGTGGAAATCAGGCTCAGGACAGGAATTATTCCTGAGGCAGTCACTCTAGAGCATGTCGACAAGGTATGGCTATTCTTCATGTTACCATAATTCGATACTCCTACTTCAAATTTTTTATTTGGCATATCTCTGTCCAACCCATGCTGTAGCTCATTATTTTCCTTGCTACATGCTCTTAATGTTCTGTCGACATTTCTGATTTGAGATAGCTGACAACATATGCCATGTGGGTGCGTGCTTTGATTGATCAGCTTCACTTTTGATGCTATTACTATCTATTAGAAACTTTCAGGAAAACATCAAACAACATGCAGCTCTATCTGTTAATAGTTGACTTCATGTGTTCTTTCCCTCAATTAGGCTTTATTGAGCCACGATAGAAAGGAATCATTGTGAAAGCAAAGCATGTTCTTCATTTTGCTGTGTTCCAGTTGAAATAACTGGTTCTTCCATTTTGTTTGTTTGCGTTATGATCTTGTCATTGAACAATCATGCCCTGCCTGTCCTTGACTTCCCATGAATCACTTTTCTGCTTCCTTCATTCCAGTGTACTATCTTATGCGAATCATGCTTGCCTGTGCAGAGTGTGGCCTTCGACCGCTCCAGCGCTCCCAAGGATTTCCAGGTCAGCGGGTGGTACCAAGGAGCAGACGACGATTCAGACAAGCAACCACGCACGCCGACAAGCCTAGGAGAGTTCACTTACGACCTCGAGAAGAGCAACGCCCAGACCTTCCAGCTAGACAGAACCACCGCCGACGCATCTGTGGTCAACATTGTCCGGCTCGACTTCTCCTCGAACCATGGGCAGCCTGAGCTGACGTGCATCTACCGCTTCAGGGTGCACGGCAGCGAGCCTGGCTCTCTTCGGCACCGCGGCATCGTGAGGCCTGATCTAGTTAGTACCTGTGTGCCTGGGACCATACGGTCTTCCCTCTTTAGCTTTGATTGAAGACTTGAAGCCCCTGCGAGACGGTAGGTTCAAGTTGATTCTAATCTGTAGCATAATGGTGCCACTATGGACAGACGCTGACTTACTGTTCTTGTTCCTAGCTAGAGGTGCTAATTGCTTGTATCTGGCAACTACGATTGCTCTCTGTACTCTACCGTGGCACTATTTGTAATGTAAAATTATTAATTAGGGCGTGAACTGGTGGTGTTCTCGTGTGTTTGGAGTTTTTATTTGCTGCGAGCTTGCCCTATATTTGTTTATCTCAACTATTATGTACATGACGTGCAACGGTTATCAAGATTAAAACTGTCCTAGTCGCATCTCCTTCGCCATATTTTTCGTTTCTGCAAGGGGAGTTTTTTTTGTTTTTTGGAACACTTGCAAGCCGGATGAACAAAGTGGCGCCAAGCTTCTGGCATTCTTCATGACAAAAAAGTGCCACAAAAGGTAAAAGGCAAGTTCTATAGGACAACGGTTTAACCCGCAATGTTGTACGATGCTGAGCGTTGGCTGACTAAAAGGCGACATGCTCAACAATTAGGTGTAGCGGAGATGGATATGTGACCATACGAGAAAGGATCGAGTCTGAGATGATGATATACGAGATAGAGTTGGGGTAGCACCAATTGAAGAGAATCTTGTCCAACATCATATGAGATGGTTTGGACATATTCAGCGCAGGCCTTCAAAAGTTTCAGTACATAACGGACGGCTAAAGTGTGCGAAAAATGTTAAGAGAGGTCGGGGTAGACTGAATTTGACATGAGAGCCTGTTAAGAGAGACCTGAAGGATTTGAGTATTACCAAAAAACTAGTTATGGACAGGGATGCGTGGAAGCTTGCTATTCATGTGCCAGAGCCATGAGTTGGTCGCGAGATTTTATGGGTCTCACCTTTAGCCCTCAACTTGTTTGGGACTAAAGACTTTGTTGTTGTTTACACTTCTGCAAGGGGATTTTACAAACATATTGGTAAACGCTGAGATAGGAATAGCTTGCAAAAACGTTTTATATTGTGGGACGGACGGAGTACAAGACTGCCAATTTCTTGGATGTTAGATTTTGACGAGGTTACAGTACACAGAGACTGAATGGAGGAGAAACATCGAAGAAGGAATGAATTTATGAGTTCATATTTCTTTATTTCGTGATCTCTATGTATATCGCTATGCGAGGACGTTGATTCTCAAATATGTTTGCGGTTTGACACGTTCTGCAACTGTAAGCCTGTAACTCTTTAACATTGCAAGCCTGATGGGTGTTATTGCAGATCTTTCAGGTTGTGCATGAAGAATCAGCACGGTGACTGCTACCATTTCAGTTTTTGTTCTTGTTCTTGAGTTGTACTACCTCCGTTCTACAACATGGTTTTAACCACACTAAAACCACGGCAAGAATTATGGAACAGAGGGATCTCTTCTGGTGTCAGAGAAGCCGAGGAAGAAGAGCGGGAGCCAGACAAAACCCCCTTGTTTGAAACAATATGAAACATCTTCCACATACAAACACCAAGAAATCAGAAACCTACAACTGACGACTAAACAATCACATTTGAACGGCAACCAGTACAAACTCCAACCACAAAGTTCAATAGATGGTCCGCTCAGATAAATAACAACAAAATTGAATGGAACTTAAGAAAGAGACTTAGGCATAGGAGGCGACAAAACAATATATTTCTGTCTCAGGATGTATACACTGGTCCCTGCCATTCTTTCCTGACCGTTATCCACGGATAGATATCCTTGATGGTTTCTCCTTGCTTTGTGTCGTCCTAAAAGTAGTTATTCGGTTTTCTGGAGATTAAACATATTGATGCATCCAGCAACCTCCTTACCAGAACAAATTTCAACCTGCATTGGTTCAGGGAGACTAGAGCAGTTTGACCGTGTGTTACTGAAAATTTCTCCTCGGGCCCAACCGGAGTTGCAGGTTGTCCAAAACACGGGCAACATTCACAAGCCGTGGATCGTCCGAAGGAATTTCTCATTCCTGCATCGGGAATACAAGAGACCATGAAACAGGGTTAGAATCCACGTACGGTCAATTTTATTCTAGTTTGTTCAGTCAAGCACACTGATACGTTGAAGCAAGCCTTGCTGTTTTTATTGCGTGGCATGCACGGTAAGCTCTCAAAATTTGATAAAACTCAACCAGATTCGGCATTGTAACCTAATGTTATAATTGAACCCAATCCAAAGTTACGAAAAAAACACGGAGGACTCCAAGGTGAGGAAAATATACCAGATGACATGACTGACTCTAAAATACTGAAGCTTACCTTCAATCCCTTGTAGTATGCTTCAACAGCAGGAAGTGCTGGAATTATATTGCGGGTTTGCAGCATATCCCAAATATAATTTGCAGTTGTATATCCACCAGTCTGAACAAACCCACAGAAATTTCAACAGTCATTGGTGCAACTCAATTCTTTTTTCAGGAAGCATTAGGACTTCTGTGAATTCAGTACTGAAAGGTGGCAGTTGTGCTGCTTACCTTTTCACCAGAAGCCGCTAGTAGAAGATCCGTCCCCATCTTGGGATTCAAGAAGAATTTTCTTTCAGTCATTCTCTCCTGAAAAATATTGTAAACCGTAAGATTTTGAACTCCCGAGTTAGTCAAACTGTAACACAAAACTAGAAGGAATTACCAAGGTTGCTTGAGCAACTTCCATTCCTCTTGGAGTATACCCTATCATAGCTCCCTCGGCAAGTGTCTGCATTCCATTGATGCATAGAATATAAAAGGTGCATGTGAGAAATTGAGAACACATGGTGTGGATAAGAGAGAGATACATAGATTCCTAATTATATATTTTATTGTTACACGAATTATATGTAGGACCTTAATTAGCTACTCTATAGTAAAGTTATCTATATTATTTTGTATGCATATTATCCCAAGATGCTCAGTTTTTGGCATGTGGCTAATTTTTGTTCAGCATATAGGATTCATACAGTACCAAATTCAAACTTCAAATTTGATTTCCATCTTTTATTTTTTTAAATATAGTGAAATATAACTATTATTTGTGAAATCTGAGAGCTACCACTGTTGGATCCACTAATCAAAATGGTCTCTAATCAGAAGTTAGCAGCTAGCTTAAAGTTAATAAGCAGCAGTACGATTGTGTTTTAGAGCCTGTGACTATAAAGGAACAGTAAATCCTGTAGTGGTTAAATTGGAAAGTTCTACAAAGATTCTGAAAGTTCACAACTAAATTTTTGAGATCAAAATAGTCCAAGGCACAAGGCCTGATGTGTACCGCGAAACATGTCCATCACTAGGATTTGAAGATTCGTAATGGAATTAAACCTGTGTTGCTTTCAACCACAAATATTAAATTTGAAGTTATAACTTTAACAAGATACTCACCACATACAGCTCTGCGGGTGTGGGTTTCGAGCTTGAGAACTCTTCAAACATCTTAACAGCGGAATCAATATCTCCACATCGAAGATAACACCTTTTCAGTTAAAGGACAAGAAATTAACAGATAGATCCAGAAGTTGATAGAAATCATTACCATAGAAAAGGACAAACATGATGGGTTGCCAAATGACAATTGCATGTATCCTAAAAATAGACACTGCATTTCCAAATACTATGTACATTTACCTAAACATCGGTACATAATGCGATTTCATTAATTTGCAATGTCCACTTTATAAGATTGTTAATTCAACGTGCACAAGAGACTTTTCAGTATGCATAATGCACAGGCTTAAAGTTTTGGACAGCGAAGCTATATCAGTGAATCTCGACAAAGATGAAGATTCCTTGATGAGTTCTCGACATACTTAGAAACTGAACATATCAGGAGCAATTAACCATTGAAGTTCCTCATAACCATGCAATGTATCATTAGATCAATACTGTTCAGCATGCAGAGTTGCAGATTACCTTACAGCTTGCATCACAATGAAGGCATCATAATTAAAATTCTCTTTAGTGAACATGTCAAGAAGTGCTTCGAGTGTCTGCAAAATTGTAAAGAGGATTAAATTTCATAGTAGGTAAAGCTCAACTTCATGACATGAACTAACTACGAAATGTAAGATAACTAAATTATGGACATGTCAATTTGTCAAGTATCAATGCTGCTGAGCAGTAACTAGACACTGCTTACTAAAAACACAGTGAAAATGCAGCATAGCACACCTCTTTGCTCCCCAAGTCTGCACAAGCATGGATAGCAACATGATAAATTGTTAACTGCTTAAATATAAATCCTCTTCTGTGTGCAAATTCTGCTGTTGGCAAGTTGTATAGCTCTTCGTCTGACACATTCATCATTATATTCTCAGCACTATCATTTGCTACCCTTTCAACATACTGCCAACCTTTTGACTGCTGGACGAACTCAAGAATCTGAAAACAAAGTAGAGAAAAGGATGAGTACAGTTATGTTAAATGTACCACCACAACAAACTTTCTTGAGTGCATAACATACTTTTGCCGGAGTATCCTCACTGGCTGGTGTCTTGTTCTTGAATGCAGTTATTAGTCCAGCATAACAAAACTTGTTTAATCCAAGTCCAGCGGCGGTCATATCACGAACTATAGCATAACTGGTAAAACAATCACATTAGTGTTTCTCCCAGCATAGATAATAAACAGATATACTGGAAAGAGTTGCTGTTCGGGATAAATTATACTCCCTCCGTCCAGAATTAGTTGACGCTCAAACGGATATCCGTTTTGAGTGTCAACTAATTCCGGACGGAGGAAGTATGTCGAAAAACATGCTTAGCTACCTAATATAATTCTAGAGCAAAACTTGCCACAAGCTGAAGAGACAACCTAGGCACTAGTGGAATTCATATCTTCTGATAATGTATCCCCCACATTATGCGAGGAAAACTGGCACTCCTACTCTGTAACCTCCAGAGGCTCTTATAACCCTAGATGTACCAACACGTTACATGTAGTCTAGTGTTCAAATTTGTGGAACTAGTAGTAATGAATCCTGTATTTTTAGTGGTCTAAATGGAGCTTTAC